ACTAACTCATTCACTCACACACTTTCTCATTCACTTACCGACCAACTCACTTTCTCACTGACTGACTAACATGCTGCTCATCACTGGCTCTGACACATTGAACGACCAACTCGCTCACTGCTCACTCAGAGACTCACTGACTCACTCACTGACTTACTGATTCTCTGAGTCTCTGACTCTCTTACTGACTCATTCACTGCTCACTCACTGACTTACTGATTCTCTGAGTCTCTGACTCTCTTACTGACTCATTCACTGCTCACTCACTGACTTACTGATTCTCTGAGTCTCTGACTCTCTTACTGACTCATTCACTGCTCACTCACTGACTTACTGATTCTCTGAGTCTCTGACTCTCTTACTGACTCATTCACTGCTCACTCACTGACTTACTGATTCTCTGAGTCTCTGACTCTCTTACTGACTCATTCACTGCTCACTCACTGACTTACTGATTCTCTGAGTCTCTGACTCTCTTACTGACTCATTCACTGCTCACTCACTGACTTACTGATTCTCTGAGTCTCTGACTCTCTTACTGACTCATTCACTGCTCACTCACTGACTTACTGATTCTCTGAGTCTCTGACTCTCTTACTGACTCATTCACTGCTCACTCACTGACTTACTGATTCTCTGAGTCTCTGACTCTCTTACTGACTCATTCACTGCTCACTCACTGACTTACTGATTCTCTGAGTCTCTGACTCTCTTACTGACTCATTCACTGCTCACTCACTGACTTACTGACTCTCTGACTCCTCTGCCTCTTCTCCTCTGCCTCTTTCGTGCTCAAAAACATGCTGCCAGAATAATACTTCAAGCCGACTGTTCTACTCCATCTGTCTAGTTATTTTTTACACTCCACTGGATACCTGTTTGCAACATTATTAAGTGCAAAAACTCCAGCTACTATTCTCTGTTCTTGTTAATTCTGAAGCCCCTCTATGTCTTAAAGAGAAATTCTCCTTTGTATTTGCTAACAGTGCTCATATGACCAGGGATGCTGCATCGGGAAACTTAGTGGTCCCTCAGTCCCAAACAAACTCCAGCAAGTGCATGTTCTCCTTTGTAGCTGCTCTTCTTTTTAATGCACTACCTCTAGATCTTGAGATCAAACAGCTTGTAAGAACTTCTCCTGTTTCGCCTAATGCTCTATTTCTTTCTCTGCTTTTTTTAAGCGCAAGCTACGTGAACTTTTCATTCAAAAACTCGATTCCGTTGCCCATCTCGAAGAACTTTGCTGCTTTGCATGCCATTTCCGGCTTTACTGCAATTGCTATTTCTCCTGATCGCCCGAGTTTGTTGCGATATATTGTTTATCCTATGCTAATTAGACTTTTTATATTATTATTTTTAAACTTCAATTTAAATGCTAAATTCAATTAATTACTGTATGTATGTATTTTTTGAATTTTATTGTATATATTTTTGTTCTGTATTACAGAGGACCCTGTAACTTAACGGCCTGTTCCCAGTTGGCTTGTTAGCTCAATTGGTAGAGCGCTGCACTAGTATCGCAGAGGTCAGTGGTTCGAATCCTGTACAGGCCTGATTTTTTTCAGGTCTGATTTTCGCTATTGCATAAATCGCGCTCTCTACTGCGAGGATCGTGCATCATACGTATTTAATACCGCAGTTCAAAATATATGAACTTCACATATACATTGTATCAGAAGACCCTGTGTTAGAAAACTCTTTACTGGGTTAATCATGTATTTACCTTCTTGAAATAAAGAACATTGTATTGTATTGTATTGACTCTCTTACTGACTCATTCACTGCTCACTCACTGACTTACTAACACACTCACTGACTCTGAGTCACTTTCTCACTCACTCATTTACTGAGTCATTGACTTACTGACCCACTGACTATCGATTGATTAATATATGGTTGATTAAACTTCTCTCAACAAGCAGAAATTTTGAGTTGTGAAATAAATCTGTTGTTACTGTAGAGAAGAGTGCTTATGTTCAAATATAAATAAAAATTATGTAAGAATTGTATTGTGTGATGGTTCTAAAGTAATTTATATATGTAACTCCAATACAGCTGTAAAAGTGGTTAAATTTTGAGTAAATTGAGGGAAGTAGAAACTATTTTCCTGACCTTGCCCACCTTGTAGTTTTCTCTCTTCTTCTAGTAGTTCATCTGCGAAATAAACCAAACAATTCATCGGATCTTCCAGAACTGTTATAAACATAACAAAAGCTCTTGGGCCTCTCTTTTCCAACAAACTTAACAGCTTTTCTGTAGCATGAGTTGGGCCAAGATTTCTTTGCATGGCATGTATCTCTTCTTTCTCTGAAGTACTAAAAAGTGTGCTGAGATGTGCAGCAATCAATGTTGGGTTGGGTATGCTATTCATGATCATAGCTGTCTTGATAGCCAACACTTTCTTGTGAATTGGATCCATACCAGCCAGACTAGTGCTGAGGAAAGAAAACTGCTACAGTAACAAAAATTATATAAATCGATCAGTCCTTAACCCACACAGTTGAGAAAACTAAGCAAGAACCTAGCCCATGCACAGGTAGAAAAGCTCTTTAAAAACCATTAAAAGCTGAAAATAAATCAAGGGATTTCTCCCATTCAAACGCAATTCCTGTTAGTTTAAAGCTTCCGGTTGCTTTTCCAAGAAACGCGGGTAACCGTTCGTTTCGAAGATTGTTTACGCTTGGTTTCTATGGGTTCATTTGTTCCGGATCAGTTCGTGACACATTCGGAGTGATTTTCGCTTTCCGATGATAATTGGTAGTTTTCAGTCTTCACGCTTCCGAATTTTACTTGCAAACGAGGCAATCAAGTTTGCTAAGTGAAATACAAGCTTCACTTACAAATTTTGGACGGATATCACAGTTTCTATGCTGTAAATGCGGAAATTTAGGCAGTGATAAAACCTTGATTGTGCAAAGTTGAAACCAAAACTGATGTGCGTGGGTATTGACGTATTGAAGTGACATATTTGCGCGGTATATTGGGCTCGAACGTTGGAAAACATGGAACTGCTTCCTTTTCGAAGTCGAATGTCTGAAGTTCACTTTTATCGTATTTAAAGTTCATTAGTGGTTATTGTACCTTTTTGAGCAAATCAAGCTTTGTAAACGTCATCTTATTTATTCATCATAACTGGACTTCATTTACCTATTGTCGATTTATTGTGTTGGAATCCCATGTCATTATGGCGCCAGTATCTTCAATAACGTGAGAGATGTCTACGTTCACAGAACTCTGAAGTAAGATTTATTTCTACGCTGCGGTATAAAAACTCACCCTTAGTTCTCGATATGGGTGATGAAACTGTAGAAGCTATGTTTCCTTATACCTACCAAGCTGGCGATGGAAGAACCATCGAATTTGAAAAAGGAGATCAGTTTACCTTACTCAACAAGACCAACGACGATTGGTGGCAAGTTACGCGTACGAGGAAGGATACTACACACTCAGAGGAAAAACCTATATACGTTCCTGCGTCTTATATGAAAGAAATTCCCTCAGGAAGCAAAAATCCGATTTACGAAAACGTGGAGTGTAATGGAGAAGTTGTCCGAGAGGATATCCCTACGATGGGTGTACCTGGACGACATTCGAATACAAGCAACCGATCAGTTCCAAACGATGTCAATCGAGATGGATACAGCCACAACGGAACTAACTATGAGGACGAAAAAGATACAAGACACACTTCTGATGCTTCAAGTGATTTTAACAGCATGGCAGAATCTCTGGAATCGGTGAGTGTATGCATGCACCAAGCTTCTTGTCGTTTGTAATATTACCTCGTCAATCGCGAAGCAAGGTTTCTAATTTGGTCATCACATCGCATGAAACGATAACAAGTATTCGTGAAGAATACAGAAGACTTTAGTGCCCCGTCAGTTTTTTATGATAAGCATGATAAATCATTAAAAAAAAGTTGATAGAAGCATAGTGGAGTTCACTCTATGATGCTGAGAGAAACTTTTTAATTACTGATATCAAGTTTTTTTTTTTTTTAATATAAAACAAAACAATTTGTTTACAATAAATAATATGAAACCAGAATAAGAACTATTGCGATGATTGATTACCATACTACTGCTTACATTTCACCGTAGAAGGAGGTTTCGAATGTCAAAGAAAAATGCGCTTTTGTATATTTTGTTGTGATGGATTTTTCGAGATGGTGGTCACCATTGTGGTCACCCGTCACTTGTCAGACAAAACATGCATCCAGCCAGAACCTTTAACGAAAGAGGAATTATTATCATGTGTAAGAATCCAGAATTAGTACAAACAAGGGTTTTCTACATTTTACAGTTAAAAGACCTATTCATCTGCTTGGTAAATGATGTTGTGGGTCATATAAGTGCCCTATAAGCCCTTAAAGTGAGAAGGAAGTATTTACTGAAAATTTTATCTCCTCAGCTGTGTCATAAATTAGTATGATTCAAAAGTGTTTTATTAAGTTAAGGGTTTGCAAATTGGTTAATCTTGACTTGAAAGCCATTTACTAGTGTTGTGAAAAGTTTTTTTGTGTTTGTATCTAAACTTTACAGTGTTTTTTTTTCTCTGATTTCAAGTGATCTTTGACTTATGTTGTAAAATTTAAACTTTTTTATTTTTGATTTCAAGGTTAGTTTTGTTCTCAAAATTATTACTGACACTCTTTGCTCTTTGTGCAAACTGTAGAAATTGTGAATTAGGGGAAAAGTGTTCTGTTTATACATGTAATACCTCTTGGGATTTGTTTGTTGTTGGAAGTAAACTCTAAATTATTAGCATAAGTGTAAAATTTCACTCAAGTTTTTATAAATTTTGATTCCAGCATGTCACTTTGAAAGTTTCAAGATTTTGTTTGCTTGGAAAAGAGTTGAAAACAAATTGCTTCAAGAAAGTGAAATTTAAATCTGCTGTTTCAGTAAATATGTTTGTACATTAAGTTTTTTGGTTTAATTGCCATTTTTGAAAGTTGTCATTTGAATTTTTTTTTTATCCTAGCTTAATCGTTAGCTTAATCGTTAGGTTAAGGCTGCCTGATCAACTCTTTGCCAGTTTCATCAAGCTAAATTTTTTGTTAAGGTTGCTAGAAACAAACTTTCTTTTAAAGGAAAAATGAAACATTATTTTCTGCTGTTAACTACTCGGTTCTGTAAAAACAAAGTTCTTTATTCGTGGACACACTAATCCAAGTAATAAAAATGTAGAGCCAAAATTCACGTGTTTTTATACCTGCTAGCATTTTGCATATATTATGGTCACACTACAATGTACACTAATTATCAACGATTCTATTTTGATAAAATGTAAATGGCGGCGTGAATTGCTGATTTTGCAACATCTGCAACATTATTAAATGTTTTATGTGACTTTCCCTTCAAATTTAATTATACCAAAAACTCTCCCACTCACCAAGAGGACTGCATTGGGAACTGTACATTACAGCCCAAGTTTTATTTTTCCCAGATGTATGAGCCAAGCACATAATAATGAGAGATATTTAATAAGGTTGATTAAACTTTTATGCCAAGAAACTTTGGTTTGTTTACTAATAGGCTATTTAATGCTAATTGCTTCCACTGTGATCATCTTTTAGTCTGGAAGCTTCTCGTCACCTACAAAAGAGAGACCTAAATCGCAGTCCCTTCCTAGGGGTTGGATTCAATTAACTGATGAAGCAACTGGTAGACCATGTTATTTCAATTCACACACTCAGGAAAAAAGCTGGAAACCACCAAGAATATCACATTCTGGGACTCGTACACCAGATGGGGTGAGTGCATTAAACAGAAATTATGGCATTAATTATTATTAATTATTGGTAATTATGGCATCCACTCTTGGCTACTTGAAGTAATGAACCTTTAATTCAGTATTGTTTCCTAACTTGCACAAACTTGTATTCATCTCATTCGAGACTCGTAGAAATGAGAGGATTCGAAGTTATTGTGCTTTAACAACAAGCGAAACGCGTCCTTGAGAAAACGATTTCAACACAACACTATTAAAACCATGTGCTTGGTGATAAAAGCGCCCGCAATGTTAGTACGCTGACGACGCTATATAAGGCTCATTTTTCTGTTTCTTACAGTAATGATAACTAGAACTCTGTCAGGCAAACTTAAAATATTACCAGGGAGTAACCTGTGATAGACTTGCATCCCTCAGAGAAGTAGGCTTGTTGTTTGTTGGCTTTGAACCCTTCATGCTCCAATATCAGTATGTATATTCTCCATACTGTTCTCTATACATTTCCTAAGGTGCTAAAAAGGAGAATTTGTTTAACAATCAAGTGTGTTTTTAGTTGGTGATCATTTCCTTTATTCTTGTGGCCCTAGTGTGTAATTCTGGGGTGATATTGTGAGGAGAAAAACTTTTTGGTCACTCTCAGTTGTCAAAGGGGGAAGACCCAACCGTCAAAGGAGGCAACGAAGAGACTAAAGTCTCCTCTGTTCCCCTGAGGCCTCGTATACAAAAGTGAGATATGGAGGTGATAAAAATAAGTTGTACTTAATTTAGTTCAAGATGTGTTGAGCTGGATGAGTCTCTGTTCATGACTTGCAAATTACCTTTAAAAAGAACCGTAATGATTATAAGTCAACTTAATTGAGACTGACATGTGAGAAAGACATTCAGGTCTGAACATACAGATTTAATTTTTGAGGTGTACCAACCAAAACAATTCCCTTGAAAGGGACTGAATATGACCTACATGGCTGTTTTTTTGTTTTATTTCAAACAGTGGCCAACACCACCTCTAGGATGGCGAATCTCACATAGCAGTTCAACTGATGAGCTGTGTTATGTCAATGATTGCAATGATGAACAGGTTTGTATTTTTAGCAGGCAGTTTTCAACATGAAGTGAACCATTTCAGGTGACTGTAAGGGGAATACCCCTCACAGATGCCAAATTAATCCACTGGTTATCCATCCAATAGCTTTCATTTAATATGTTTTCCCAACTGTTTCACGAATTCCATTCTTGTGGGCCAACACTTTTACATTATAACTTTTTTTTTGTGGAACACCATGCCACACCAAGCAAACGGATGGCAATGAATAACGATGGCACGTATGACTTACGTGTATGCATTTTTATACCAATGCATCAGCATATGCATATATTAGACTTGCATATGGTGTCAAGTAGTATGCAGTGTCATTATTCCTTTGAGCCGCACAGTAGTGATATTATCAGCCATTGATTTTGGCAGTTCCGTAATCTTTAAAGCAACAGCCTGAGTACAATGGACCCCTAAGTTAGAAACCCTTATGCAAAGAGAACCTTCACAATATTAATTATAAGTATAAGAAAGTAATTTAACATACCCCAGTTACATTCATGTGATTAAATTATAACTTGCAGTATATTTGTTACTTTTAAAGTGGATGCTTTCAAAAGATGAGGATGGGAGAGTATACTATTACCAAGTCAATGGAAACGCTACAGCTTGGGAACTTCCTGAGGTAATTTAATCTGTATATTTTTTAAGTGTTGGTGGCCTTGGAAAGAAAAAAGTAAGGTCTCTATGTGCACAGAACTTTTTGAAACATAGCTGGCAGCTTTATAGGGAGGGAAACAAATTCTTGTAAACTTTGACATCTAATTAAGTATCAACTGCAAAGCCTTTTTGATAGAATGATAAAATTCTGGCAGACTCCTGGTAAATTGCTTCCTCTTCATAAACATGTGGGTACAGTTTTACCACAAAGCAATGTCTCATTTCTAGAGCTGGGGTTTTGGGATTGTACCAGCCCAGTACTGAGTCAAGATTTTTTCGCTGATTTATCTGTAAATTTACATGAGCAAGGAGTCACATGGCAGTTGGGTTCTATTTTGCCATGTAATATTTAGACATTTGACATTGATTTAGACATTTGTAATATTTAGACATTTGATCTGGACTTATTTGGTAGTCACAGCTGTCCAGTAATCTGTTGATTGTCAGCTTTTTTCCTTCTCCCTGATTCAAAATTTGTTGTCGATCTTTACATTGCATTTACTGAATTTTCATGACAGTAAACTGACTAATGTAGTTCCACGTATCTTTTTGAGCCTCTCTCTTTTAGACTAGCCTGTTAAACGTAAATTGTATTCATACCACTGGCTCTCAACAGCTTGAACCTGCCCGGCAGTCTTTTGAAGCACTGGACGTCACCTACAGACGACGCTCACCAAATCTCAGTCTTAGAATCTCAAAGTGTCAGTCTCTGCTGACATCAAGCCCACGAAACTCTGAAGCAAACCCTACCTTTCCTCCCCCTTCTATGTCTGCCACAGCTGCTGCTGCTCATGGCTTCCCCCCACCACCACCCATGGTTGGTTCTGAGCTGCGTTCGTCGCTCAAGGTGACAACACTCAGGCATCTGGCATCACTGTGGTTGCTTGATTATTTTAGGATTCACACAATAACTTGTGTTCACTAGAAATTCATCTAACTTCTGGCCATCTGTGTGTTCTTCTTTTGCCCTAATGGCACCTAATTATTCCATGTGACTTATTCCTTAATTCCACTGTCTTGCACCTGGCTGTCATATGCACTCTGTGGTTCCATTCATAATTCTTTATCATCTAACAGACATACTTCTTGCAGCCACTGTGTTTGGTGTGATCATCATTTGGTGTGAATTGATAACAAGACTAAATAGCTGTCTCACTGCATCAGATAACCAGAATGGTTTCTTATCAAAACCGTGCCAATGAACATTTTATCCTTTATTTCATTTTTTTTATTTATTTATTTATTTGTTATAACATACTGAGTCTGATATCATCAAGATGTTATTTCCTACACTTGTAAGAATTTTCTATTGGCCCACATGTGGGCCCACATCTGAGTCTAGTAGATAAATTACAGGCTTACAGGTAAACTTTCATTAATAGTTATTATAGGAAAAGGCAAACCTTATAGTCTCACATAATGTGTTTTATTACATCCATTTTGAAATCACTGGTGGTCCCTGTAATCTGATTGGCTCTAATTGGTGTGATTTATTCCCAAATCGCACCATTTTTTGCTCTAAATCACATCATTTTACGCTTGACTGAGTTTTTGACACATGATGTCAAAATCTTTCTGTTTTGCATACAAAATAAGATGTAAATGCATTTCTGATTCCACTTTTTATGTAAAAACCGGCTTAGTACTGCATCAGTAAAATATTTGAATTTACCAAGTCCTGTATTTGGGTGATTTCAAAATGGATGTAATAAAGTGGTAATTGAACCTCGTGTCGTGCAATTTTGGTCTGAAATCATACTTGTGATTTCAAATTGAACTCGGGCTGCACGCTTGTTCGATTTTGAAATCACGCACATGATTTCAGCCCAAATTGCACTCCACTCTGTTCAATTACCATTATTTAGTACCATCACCCAAATGAGAGTAATCGTAGTAGGAAATTGTAAAAAGAGAAGGTGACTTTGAGTCCTTTTTATATTCAATTTAATAAAAATCTCTTTTTATTTTTTTTGCCTTTGCTTTGCATTCGTTATCATTACATCAGAAACAGAGGAGACAAAAGAGAAAAAGTTTGCAAAGTATTTTAAAACCGGGGAAAATTTTTAACTTGGCAATATTCCTGCTTTTTTTTTTTTAAATCAGTTATCAGTATGGAATTTTGTTTGTAGCACTTAGGCCATCAGTACTATTCATCGAAAAATTTTTGCATTTACAGAAACAAGAAGGGAATGTAAGACCCAAGATAGTTATTTTATCTCATGCTTTTTCAACCTGTTATGCAACAGCAGGTTTATGATGCTTCATGCATTGTAAGCTTTAACCCTGAAAACATGCTATTATTCTGAATTAATAGATTTTGTGTATGCATAGACAAATGTTTTTTCTCACAAAAGAATAATTTAGTGAAAAATAGTTATCTCTGCATCCACCAAATCTATGAATTTAGGATAATAGTAAGGTTTCAGGGTTTAAACCTTCTAAGTTCTTGTTTATTAGGGTGCCAGAAGATCTGCATCTGTACAGTCTCGAGACAGTGCGTCATCTGCTGAAGAGTGGCCTATGCCTCCAACTCCTTCAACAGATTTTGTTGATTTTGTGAGTGCTAACAGTGTATTGAACAATATTATAAGCCAATAGGCCTGGAGTGAATATGAGATGGTATACTTTCATTTCAGTTAAGCAAGCTTTAACACTTGCATCCTGAAGAGTGACTTGCATCTAATTTCTCTTTACAATTTCACACTGGAATCAAACAGTAAGGTCATGGGAATAAAAAGGAAATGATCATCGACTAATCCTGCAAAAGCAAAGTAAATAATGGATTATAAGTAATGATAGTAATACTCAAAATCAAAAACTGTTGCACAACCCAGAGTAAAAACTTAAATATGTTATCTAATTGATATTTTATTTTCCTGATAGTTCCAGGCAATTGAAAAACAAGGAATGTTGAACTGCAAGAAATTGGTGGAGGGAGGTGGAAAAAAGGTCAAGTCAGTATGCCCCAAATGAAAACTGAGAGGTTTCTCATAACAAAGCTGGGTGCCAATTGCTTAAAGGTGGTTTTTCTTGTTTCCATATAATTTAATTTGAGCAATTTTTTTGTTTAATTTTATCTCACTAATAGCCATAACTGAAGGAAATACAGTCTATTTTAATTAGCTTTTAAACTAAATCAGGAACTTCAATGTTTTTGGGTCTAGGTCTAGAATATTTTCATTTTAGGGTAGCTTTTGGCAATATTCTTAGGAACAACAACTTTCTATGAGCTAGCTATTTTATAAACCAGAAAGTCTTAAGAATTAATTATTTTTGGGAAGCAAAACAACGATATTGCTGGGAAAAGGAGGCTTATTACCAGCATTCAAAAATGAGAAAGGTATTATTAACATTTTGTTTGCAGAAAGATGTCATGGACACCAACATTTGTAACACTCTTTTCAGCAAATTTGGTTTTTTACAAGGACCAGAAAGCAGCAGCTCAGGTGCTATTTGATAGGGCTTAATGAAATTTTGGCAAAGTTTTTAAGACCATGGGGCTGTATGTAATTTTTCCAAGTTTGAATTATATAAATGTGACCTTTCTTACAGTGTTGTGTGGGGGGCTCTGGTGAAGTTTTTTCCCTGTTTTTGTTCAGTACTCATTCCATACACAACCTTCTCACTGTTACAGTAATATTTATAAACTTAAGGTGCCTTTAGGTGAGCTGTGGCTTGGTTATCATGGTAACCTCTTTGCGACACAAGAAATTGCTTCTCTAATGCTCTTGGTTCAGTGTTCAGCTTTGCACACAGTTCATCCTAGTGGGGATTTTCTCCTCTTGGAAAAAGGGAATTTGGGCTGCAAAACTGCAGAAGATGTAAAATACTGAGGTTTAAAACACACTCATAATACTGTATTTATTCACTATTCTTAGAAACCTGGTCATCCACAGGGAAAACCACAGAGTTGTTGTCCATTGCAAGGTGCAACAATTGAGTGGGGGAGTTCTTCATCAACCAAAAAGAAAAATGCATTCCAGGTAATATGCACCTTTGTTGTGTTGTTTACAAAGTAGATGGTTTTGAAGTTACTCCAAACCCTTTTTAATTATCTAGCTTCTTCAGCAGCATGTAAATGAATAAGATGTGGTTCAACCCAAGCTACAGTGAACCTTTATGTCATGATTCATAGTTTTTTTTTATAATTATAAAATTGAAAATTTTTGGCGTATTCTTTAAGATCAAAGCATTTTCTGGAGCAGTGTACCTCCTCCAACATGATCACCAAGTGGAGGCCACTAACTGGTTTAGTGCCATCTCAGCTGTTATCAAAAGACTGGTGAGTAGTTTATAATTAACAATTATTCCACGAGTGCGTGTTGGATATGAGATGATAGATAGCCAACGAGGCGCGTAGTGCCTCATTGGCTATAATCATCTCATATCCAACAAGTGCGAGTGGAATAATTGTTTTATTAAAAACGTTAAATTAAATTATTAAATTTTATTAAATTTTTAGCTCCCTTTTAATTTTAAGCTGACATGTACGCTTACCATATTTGTAGATTATGGTATATTGGCTGATATACCATAATGGCTAAGCCAATAAAAAGTCTTGAATTGCATTATCCAATGATCTAGTTTTTAATAACAACAGTTACTCTAGCACCAGTGATTGTGTTGTTGTCCTTGTTGTTGTTGTTGTTGTTGTTACTGTGGACTCCTGGAAGCTTATTGTTCCTATAGTCTTTTGTGTGATACCAGTCATAGGATTGTTTTTCTGTCTTTTCAGAATGAGGAAGAGCCATTCCCAGCACCAGTTCCTTCACAAGACCAATCACAACAAGGTTTTGTTTTTGGTTTTAATTTACTAGCATATAAGCCCATTGAGTTTTTCACAAATTTGTGTGTAACAGTTTATTTGGCTTTTTTGTGGCTGTTTCTGGAAGGGATTTAAGAATGAACACAAGAACTAATTGCGTTTAAAATTGTTTTATTCGATGTTTTGGTTCTATGAAGGAGATGAAAGTGATGTTGTCTCACCCGAGCCTGGGACGCCAAGTTCTTTGCAGCCTCAAGTGCTGATCCGTGTTCCAAGCACAAGGAAAGGTAAGCCATTAGATGGAATCACTTGTGCTCAAACATTTATGACTAAATCAGTGTTGAACAACATTGCATGATGGATTCTAATTTAATGTGAATGATCAGTACAAGTGAAAACCAAGGTGTTAATGTAGAACTTTAAGTTAGAAAGTTGATTTCTCTTTGATGGTCACCAGTAAATGTATTTAATTGAAAGGCCCATGTTCAACCAACTCAATGAGGTCTTTTTTTTGCTTTTGCAGGTTCAAAACAATTTCAAATGCGATTAGTTCTTGTTTTAATTCTTAAATTCTTTCCGATCCAAACTATTCTTTACATAATCCAGGGTAGGGGATAAAAGAAATGGAAATCAAACCAGGGAAGTAATGTTTCACCCTGAAGATCAAAGATCATGTCCCACTCCAAGGATCTCGCTGAGTAGTTCTCATTACTGTCCTCATACAGCTCTCATGATGTTAGCATCCAGCTAAACAAGCTTTACAGGACAGATGAGGTTGTTTGCATGCTCTGAACACCTTATGTGTGACAGTTTCCTTAATAACTGAAATAACAATTCCAAGATAAGAACCTTCTTTGAAATTTCAGGTGTTGACCGCGAGGACAAAAGGAACATGAGAGATAAATTGAAGAAATTTCTCACAAAGCGACCTCCTATAGAGGAGCTGGAAAAGAGAGGAATTATTAAAGGTATTGATACAAATATTATACGATGCCATAAAACACTGCAATGAAACACAAAGGTCATCAAATGAATGTAAAGGAAGTGATCACCAACTACTAACAGCTGTTAATTGTTTTAAACAAATTCTCCTTGTCAGTCCCTTAGGAGATGTATTGTGAACAGTTTGGAGAATATACATACTGATGTTAAAGTGTAAAGTATTTGTATTTGTATTTTTATTTAAGGATTTGTACAAAGAATTGGAGCAGAAACAATAGGACATAGGTCCCCTATGCAGTATAAGCTCCAACAAACCCACCCATCCCAACCCAGGGGAGGACATCCATCACACAGTAATCTCGTGCATGGGAAATTAATGTCTCCTACCCCTAACCCTGCAGGAGACGGGACCTTCATTTAGTTTCTTGTGATTGAATTTTCAGAAAGTGTATTTGGCTGCCACATTTCACATCTTTGTGAAAGACAGAAAACACCAGTTCCTGTATTTGTTAGTTCATGCATTGCTGCCATTGAAAAGAGAGGTATGTCTTGTCTATAATGATTTCTCACACACTGCTAGTAGCCATGTCAAGCTGACTGCCGCAACCCAACCTTTATTGCAAAT